ACGGGGGAGATGGTCGTCAAAATCTCGTGATCAACTGGCTCTCTCTCTCGCAAAGACGTTTGTATGACCCCAATATCTCATAAACAAGACCCAACAGGACATCAGGCCACTGGCTTGAACAAGGTTTTGTTTAAATGATCTTCCTTTTTATATTCATCACAAAATTTGATATCTGGCCATCTGCCTGTATTCAGGTAAAAGTCTGAAATAAATTTTAAATTCTCGATTTTGTAAATTTTATCTAAGAAAAAGCAGTAAAATCAGTATGATCAGAATCTGAACTGATGGCATTTCGATTTGCATACAGGTATAGCAATCGTAAAATATCGATTTTTTCCTAGCGTGGTAAATTTTATTTCGACGCATATATTGAACTTAACAAAAAACCGATAATTTCCGCTGCGTTATTTTGGCGCAATTTTTTTTAAAATGCTTTGAAAGAGGTCCATTAAATCGTAACAATGAGCACTAAAAGGACGAAGAAGATGCGTATTTGCAAGTAAATCAAAAGAGCTTTATGGGCTGAGTCACAATCAAAATTGTGGAATATTATTAGGGTATGTACAATGAATGCGAAAATTGCTACATCACATTGATGTTATGACTCATTAGTCCCTCATGTTTGCGCGTGTGGACGTTACCATGGTCACGAAAGAAGCGTTATTTTGCGTCGCACCTTCTTTTAAGAGCAGTGGATTAACTTTTTTTTGGAAGAAAACGAATTGAATCTTATTTGAGAGAAAACTTAATCGATAATAATAATAATAACCAATCATAATGACCAATAGCAAGGCTAATGGACACCGAAGTGTTAACCTAATTCGTCAAATTCGGCTACCTATCATTTCCTATTTTATCGAATGGATTATGGCTAAATTTGTTTGTTTTAAACCTGATCAGTGATGAGGAAATGAACAAAAATATTGCAGAAATTAACTAAAAGTGCATATTAGCAAAATAGAAATAATCGAGTCTTCGTTCTTCGATAAGGAAATAATGGAATAATTCAATTTTGGTAAATTAACTGTTACCTGCGTCCACTTAATTTATCACCACTTACATTAATAAGAGTAGTATTTTGACTTTATTCCTGTTTGGATATGCTATGTTGAGAGAAGTGAAGATGAGAGTAAGCAAGTTTTGGCGGATCATCTTCGATGCCCTCCTCACAGGGTGGTATACCACAGAGCCATAAAAACACCTCAGGAGTAAATTTTCCCTAGTCTTGAAAAGAAAATACCCCATCTGACCGGACACTACTCATATTGTTTATTGTTGCATTTTATGGATGAAAATTCAAATTTCCAACTTCAACTCATTTAGACACGATTCTTCTTTCAAATTTACCTGGACTGTAATTACGCACTGACCTCTAAATGACAATGTAATAACGACGTCAGCATCCTTTAATGCTATCCAGTGAGGGGCGAGATATTTGCGCATTAGCGTGGTATTTCCATAATCGGCGACTTTATGGAAGTGGCGGTTGCATACCATATTTCCTGTGATCAGTTAGGCCACCCACGCAAAGCACAAAGCAAAGGCCAATTACCGGGCTTCTAATTCAGAACAAAGGCATAGTTAAGCGAGTTCTTGTCATTATACCATGAGAATTTTCTAAAATGGTTAACGGTAATCAAAAATTTTTATTTCTATGTAAATAAGGGAAAATTAACATAATTGCAAAGTAGTGAAAACTACAACAGTCCTTTCTCACTATACACGCATTTGGCAGATACCCATTTTCAGGAAATTGAATTCTGCAATTATTATTGCCCTAGGTAAAGTTATTAGATAATAGAATATTTCCCTAAAACGTACAATCTTATTAGTGATCGTAAAAAGCCACTTTCCTATTGCCTTTCCTAAATCAGTTGAGTTATGAGTTAAATATTCATAAATTATTTATAATTAAACAAGTATGAAAGAGCATCGAGATGTTGTTGTAAAAAGCGACATTTCCAAGGAGTGGATCAGGAGCTTATAAAGTCTGGAAGTAACAGAAAATATAGGGTTTTGTGACTTTTTGATCGAAGTGCTTTTCACGCAACTATTTACTTTGAATTATGACAGGTGTGCGATAGACTTACCTCTCCACGTGGTGCACCCTGTGCAACGTATGCTCATACGGCAAAAAAGTCTATTAACCGGCAGTTGATTTCTGACTTCAAACTACCATCATCCCACTCTATGTCATACTCGATTACTTCCACAGTACTCACCTGACCTTTTTCTACCTTTGTGTCCGCCTCTTTTACATCTTTAAAACACTCTTCTCTTCCCTCCCCCCTCTCGACTTTTTTCACTATCATAAAGCCTGCTATTTGATATAAATAAATGCTCAGACACTGTACTAAAATTCAGTGAAGAATCCAAATTGATGTTTTTCTTTCTAGAAAATAAACTTCTCGTTCTCTGGGTTATTCACCAGCGGGTTCCAAGGCTGTCACCAAGGCAGGAAAGTTTGCGGGGCCTTGTTTGGTCTTAGTTTGGCTAATTACAAGTCGTCAACCTTCTTAAAATCTCTTCTGTGGTAGCAAGGTAAACTTGCTGAAATTTAAACAATTTTGTGACAACCGTTTCAGTATTGGCAGTGAATGCGTCGCGTCATATCAAATTGTGGACATTTAAACACCAAATGCTAATTTCCTCTTCTTGCGTAAAGTGGACTTAAACTGAATGAAACTTTGCATGTTCTCCCCATTTAACTGACAGTCGCATAGTTTTTGCATCCTTGCAGACATTCTGAGCCAACTTTAGGGAATAGTAGAACTGACAAAAGCACGTTTCTTTGTTTGTTATTCAATAAATTCAGTCAGTATTTTAATAAGTGAGTGAAGGTGGTTAAGGGATTCAGCTGAGGGATTAGACTTAAAAAATGATTTTCGAATATATATGGCTGGAGAACCTTTCTACAAACTCTCATTAAGTCGTCCACATTCAGATGCTTCTCTATCGTGAAGATTAAGCAAACCACAGGTAGCATCGCTGAAGCTCCTGACATATGACAGAAATTGCAATCGAAAAATCAATATCCAAGAGATTGGAGATAGAGGTTGGGGTGGAGAGGGGGGGGGGGGAGGAACTGACAACGGACATAATTATCAGATTTTTTCTAGACTGCAAACAAAAATAGAGATTCATACACGCCCATTAGCTGTCCAACTGCCAATTTCGGATAATGTTTGCAACATATTTTTCGACCAATTTGTAATATGAGATAAGGTAATAAGTCAAAAGATTCTCATTAGGATACATTAGGAAAGTGGTTTTCAGGAAAAGAGCATCAGCGAATGACTAATGTGGACACTTTCAGAATGTCAAACTACAGAAAAACGGAAATTTTAATCAATCTTCTACTCAGACATCCTTCTTGAAGGATGTGTTATACTGTTGGTGAAATTCCATTGAGGCTTGGGAATACCCTGCGAATAAAACTGCTGGTAATTGATAATAGCTGCTTCAATTATGATCATAACCTGGAAACTGTAGATGTTCTTTGGCCATGGTTGGTATAGACTCATTAATTACAGGTCAAACCCAGTGAATATGATTAGCAAATACGTCTGTCAAGTTGGGGAGAGGGAGAGAGAGATCCACATATCCATTGGAGCACGTCAAGCGATATTGTTACTTAAATGCTCTGGTCAATTATGATCGATAGAGGAGGTGACAAAATACGCATTTTTGCAGAATTGAGTAAAATATGGGAATTTTCTATTTAATTGAATGATTCTCGAAAAATGAAGCGCATAATACGGGAGGTTAGTTACAATCCATCAATTCTACGCCTTCAAATTGGGGTGTGCGATAGACTTACCTCCACGTGATGCACCCTGGGCAAACAGGCCTAAAAAACGCCAGTTGTCTACTAATAATCATGACTCAACTGTTTGTCATATTCGACCACTTCCACAGTACTCACCGTGACTTTTTACCGTCCTTTGTGTCTGTCTCTTTTGCATCTGTGAATCACTCTTCTGTTTCCCACACCCCCATAACTTCTTGCGACTTCGATGTTCCTCCTCCCTGTGAATCCCGAAGTCAACTTAAGGGCTAATGATAACTACCATGAAGCCTGCCATTTGATATAACTAGACCACCCTCGAATTTCACCAATAATTCTAGAATAGTTAGAATGTACTCTAGTTCCGCACTAGTATGGTTTCAGATGAATCTCTTGTTATCTGGCATGAAAAATCAATAAAATTTAGAATCAAGCTAATTGCACTACCACTCGGATTGCCAAATGTAACAGCTTAAGACCATGGTTACTAGGCGGTGTGCCTTCAACGAAATTTGCTTTTAATCGGTCACATATCCACCTCAAATTCGGGAAATTGTGAGTATTTCTAACTGTTAGCTTGAAAGGGCCTTTAAGACTATTATTGATCAGTAGCTGATTAGTAATCAATAACCCCTTGCGTTTTATCGTTACAGATTTAGACTGATGCATAGCCAGACACGGTTTTTAGTCATCCCATTAAGCTCATGATAATTTTCCCCCTTTATCTCCAGATGTAAAACATAATTCCACGTTAAACATCTGCCAAGTACATTTCACAGTCATGTTGGTGTATGAATCAGCTCATTTTATTACGTTGCAATGGTAGAAAACGCCTCTTTCCACCTAGCCACTGGATAAATAACAGACACTGAACCCCCTCTCACTCACAACGTTGAGTCAAGCCGCCCACGCTGAAGGCAGTAGAAACAGCACTGAACACCAATCAAATCACCCCATCCAATTTCCAACATGACTCTGCAACCTGATTGGTCAGCGTATAAGCGTGCATAATTTGTGAGTAAATTAACTCATGACTACATTGTAGTACCTCTTTTGATGCAAGTAACCTAGGCAGAAATGATCACTTTTCAAGCAAAATTTACCGATACTTCAAGGCACATGTTAAATATAAAGAGACATTTTAGCGAATATACAGTTTATTTTCAACGATTTTAAATGCAGAGGGCAAATAAATGTTATTCTGTTTGAGCCATTAAGGAAGTGTACATCTGGGACAAGAATGTACAAAATCGTGCAGAAAAGTATCACAATCAGCACAAAAGAAGTGCCCGCATTTTGGGCACTTATATACCACTGTTTTTGCCTGAAGACTGACATTACAACCCCCACAAGCAAGAAGTTCCCCATTTGCGATAACCTCAGACCTTGGTGTTTCAATGAACTGAGCAAGAGGAAAAAGGTGATGATATGCTCTAGCTAAATGCGGCGCTGACATCAACGTTATTCCACAAACAACGCATTCTATTGGCAGCTCGCAATACGCAGCACGACATCGGGGGCACAGATAATTGCCCTGAGGTCGGTTTGTATTGGGTGTAACAGTCTTGTCACTTTCGCTATTTTCTTTGTCTGATGAGGTTGTCATCGCTTCAACACTTGGCAAGTGACTAAGAAAAAAACAAGAATTAAATATTCTAGCTACTGAAATATATATAAGTAGAGAGATATTATATTCAACTCACCACATGCACACTCGAACAGGGAAGTTTTCGAAATCGGCAGCGATTGAATGAGGAAAGCCTATAATCATAATCGTTAACTAAATGGGAAGATCCAAGCTTACCAATACGAAGAAGTGCAGCATCGCTATTGGCCTAAATGGGGAAAATAATGACAATAACGCCCGATTGGGTATTAAACTCTCAAGAGGGATTCTTTCCTACGAATGACCAAAATCACGAGGTATATGCTTACTGAGGATCAATATGAATAAATGTTAAATACTTAGTTTTCTGTAAATAAAATCTATTTAAATCAGCCAAACTGGACAAAAATTTGCGACTCCATCACGAAGAAGACTAAAGTGAACGAACACAAACTTCAATACAAATATGGTTTTCCTCCATGGTGGGCTCTCATCATATCACTAGGACATTTACCAATGAAACAAATGAACATTTTTTTGAAGTGTTTGAACAACCGTTTAAATATACATCAATAATTTCTGGTTATAAATTCAATTAGAGACCAGGACAACGAATCATAGCATTCAAACATGAGGCCATTTCCAATTTAAACATCCACTTGTGATATAATGCTTAATCGAGCCATAATTATGAAGACGGGGTGTGCGATAGACTTACCTCCACGTGGTGCACCCTGGGCAACGTATGCTCATACGGCAAAAAAGTCTATTAACTGGCAGTTGACTTCTCACCTCAAACTACCATCACCTCACTCTATGTCATATTGGACTATTTTCACAGTACTCACATCACCTTTTATCTACCTTTGTGCTTGTCTCTAACATCTTTGAAACACTCTTCTGTCCCCCCTCCCTCTCGACTTTTTTCAATTTGATGTTCAGCTAAAGGGCTAATGATAACCATCAAGACGCCTGCCATTTGATATAAATAAATAAATAAAAATTATTACGAAGACACACTTACTTCTCACAGGCCCCAAAAAGCGAGTTTTAATTAGATTTGTTCAATCCAGTAACGAACTGGACTATTGTTACTACCCATAGCAATGCCAAAAAATGTGGAAATGTAGGAAAGAGGCGACTCCGAATAACTGCAAGTCCAACAGACGATAAAGAGGATGCAAAAGACGCAGACAGCAACATCAAGATGACAAAGCGCCTTACACTTCATTTAGTTTTCAGACTTGAATTAAACAAAATTTGCTAGATTGGAAGTTCCCCTTCGAAATATCGAATTTAACGATACACCCCTCCTCCCCCCCCTCCCTACCTATTGACCGATAACATTCAATCAAGAAGGATCAATATTGATACTTCGTCTCGTTTATTTTTCTTCAAACGTCTGAGAAGACCAAATTTCTTATATGCAGAATAGTTACTAATGTACTTATTTAGCTATTTATGCGTATAGAGGTGAATTTACACGGATTATGATTGAAGATCAAACGAAAGCTTGAAATGCATCAGCCAATCGCAGCAAAACATGATTGGTCAACCAATGGATCAATGGCGAGTGGCCACGTCATGATTATGACGTGGCATCAGTGGCAGACTTACCTTATTCTCCATTTACAGTCGATCCATTTGTCTTAATCCTTCGCTTGATTGCTACGCAAGCCCCTATGCTCAGGTGCTTCTCAGCATGATTATGAGAACGCATTCAAGTCTCACGGTAATTACAAGATAAAACTAAATCCCTATATATAACTGAACTAAAAGTGCAAGTGGAGGTGGAATGATGTTCTGACACATTCTTGTTGAGTTCTAACGCGCGCTTGATGTCTCTCAAGACAGCGAACTTGAGAGGACGTACTTAAGCGACTTATATTGTATAATTAAAGAAAACAAGTTTGCTTACTGATACGCTGGGAGGCGGAACAAAACCCTGAAGGAGCGTTTTGAAGTGATGAACGTCCATAATTACATTAAGGGTTCCTGAAGTAGGAAAATCGGCTTCAATTTTTAGATAGTTATAATTTATATTGCGCTTTTGGGGTGTGGGATAGACTTACCTCCTCGTGGTGCACCCTGGGCAACGTATACTCAT